TCAGTCCAGCTCTTGTCAAGACAAGCCCACTGGGCAGCAGGGAGGGACTGTGCCACCCAAATATGAACCAAAACCACCAACCCTAACCTGCAACATGCCCTTCTGGGTGCTCTCTCACAATCCATAGCTCGTTCTGCACTTCAGTCCACTGCTACAATTGACCCACAGCAGTTATCCATTTAGGGAGATATTGGTCTACTGCCCTTGGAAGCAGATGGGAAGGACATCATCCCCAGGCCAACAGCTTCTGACACACAGACATGTGCCAAGACTGATCCCACACCAGTGCAAGAACCTCTCACCACCTCCTGTGACACAGGAGGGAAGGCACCATCCCAAACAGAAAGGTGCAACGTTTCCACAGTCTCTCCTGGGCTGTACAGCAGGGCTGGAGATCCTCCACATGTGTAAGACCACCTGACTGGGCCCTTGTGTTTCCAGTCACCCAACCATACCATGACCCTACAGGGCAGTGGCCAAAGCATCCTTGCCAAACCTGCAGCACCAATTTCTGCCATGCCAAGGGCAGAGTCACCTATGCCACTGCTCTTTCCTCATCAGATGCACTGGGCTGGCTCAGGATCACACCTCTGTATGGGCCAGGTTCTGCAGCTCCAGTGTCCCATTGCCCTGTCCCTCCAAAGGTCCAGCTCTGCAGTGCAGGAGGAATTCAGTTTCCACCATCTCTTGTGGTGCAAGAAGGTGCTAAGGATTGTAGTGAGGTTTGACCACCTCACTTCTACACTCATGTCATAGTGAGACTTCAGCTTGAAGGCACACAGAGCTCCAGGACAGGCATTGCTCATGATCCATGATTGTTGCTCCATGATCCAAGCAACAAAGTCTCCATGACTTGGTAGTTACCCCCTTCACAGGACTAATTGGGATGTTGATGTTCAAACTCATGTCTAAGAAACTTAGATTTGAAAGAGCAAGAAAGAAAAAAAGAAGCTCCTTCAGAGGGTATTGACAGGCACAGAATATGAGGAGATAATGGGGAGATTCCCATATCCCTCCCCCCTGTCAGAGCAACTTAGTGATAGACCAAGAGGAGGTCTGGGAACACACCAGTTCCCAGAACCTCTGTGAGCATGGTGACTCCAGGGTGTCTGCTCAGCCAATAATCTGTCATTGACAGAAAGCTGCATCTAACACTGAGGGGACTTCTAGGATGCATGAAAACAGCTCTGAGGCACCATCCCGCTTCAGCCAGACCAAGTGCAGAAGGATTAGTGAGTGGTGACTGCAAGTACTACAGCCTCACATTCTTCATAGTGAAGAGCAGCATCACAGAGACATTTGAATCCAGAACTTACATTAACCTTGTTTCCAGCCAGAGAGCTGGAATCCACACGCGCACGAGGTATCTAGGTCCACTCAAGCAGAGATTACAGAAGTCAAGAGATGCCTGGCACCAGTCCATGAAATGCTACAGACATCCAGCACGTAACCTGCTCACCAGCAGCATTCCCAGGCGATTCTGGCAGCCCCAGTGTGCCAAGGAAAACCAGGGATGAAGGACTTGCTACAGAGGGCATTTTCTGGGAGCCAAGAGCTTCTGCCTCCCCAACAGGGCACTTTCTCACTCTAACAGGGAACACTGCAGCCTTGCAGGGACCAACAGGAAAGATCACAGAATGGTTAGGGTGAAAGAGGCCTCAAAGACCATTTTGTTCCAACTCCCAGCCATGGGCAGAGACACCTTCCACTAGACCAGGTTGCTCCAGCCCCATCCAACCTGGCCTTGAACATGTTCACGGATGGGGCAGCCGCAGCTTCTCTGGGCAACCTGTGCCAAGGCCTCACCACCTCACAATGAAGGATTTCTTCCTAAGATGATCCTCTCCAAGCAGAACTTAGCCAGGTAACTTCTCCTCGTCCTCACCTGGTCTCTGCTCACCCAGCATAACCTCACATTTGATGCTTTCCACCTTTAGCAGTCCAGGATGCCCAAGCTCTACATCAACAGCCAGCACTCATGGAGCAGCAATCAGGCCTTTGAGACCAGCCAAGAGGGCACATGGGATAATCACAGACTTGAGCTGCCTGGTTTGGGCATCTGGTCAGCCATCTCCAGATTTCTCACACTCCCTCTGGGCCTACAGCCTCCCAGGTACCTCCTAGGAGAGCAAGGATGAACTTCCAGAGTAGAATCGACATTTCTGCATCAGGCAACCAAGGGAGCAGGGTGAACACACAGGGTCCTTATTGCAATATGGCCACAGACACAACACACAGCATTCACAGGAAGCAAGAAAGCTCCTCCAGCTGCCAGAAAAAGCTCTGCCTGTCACAGGGTGGGAGCGCAGCACCCAGGCAGCTGCCCATCTCACAGCACCCCTCAGGAGCACTGGGACAGACGCTGTCACACAGATGGGCGGCTGCCTGGAAAATTAAACAGAAGATAGCAGCAAGTGGGGAGGGACCAAGTTTGGGGAGGTGTCTGGTGAGGAACAGCAGGGACTGACATTAGGCCCTGTTTGTTTAACATTCCCGTTAACGACCTCGAGAGGAGAGAGAGGCATTCCTGTCTTCCACATGTCACCGGCCAGGAAGCGGCTGCGAGATCCAGGGGCTCGCAGATAAGATAAAGGGAAAGGCTGAATTTGGGAGTTTCGCCCCACCATATCTGGGGCACATGGAGCCCTTCTGCCAAGGCCCGGGGAGGCAGCAAAGGAGGCACACAGTGGGGGGGGATGGAGGAGTGTCCACAGCACCAGGATCTGGCAGCATTATCCATGCAGTGTGGGAAAATATTCCAGTACACCCTCCTGCGTATGGTGGGACTGAAGGATTCCACTTCACACTAAACATATTTATCACTCTGTATCAAGGGTGACTCCTTGTGCCTCCATTAGCTTCTGCAGTGAGGAACAGCTCCTGGTCAGCCACAAGGAGCTACCAGAAAAACAAGGCTCAGAGTAGCCACCATGAAGCCCAAGCCGTGCTTATCACCTACAGCATTATTTATGGTGGATCCTGGCAGAGAGAGGGCTTTACAACAGCAATCCCATCAGGGATTGGGACATATCCCCTCCCCAGTGCCAGCCTACCACCTCCTAGGCACCCTCAGCCACCTCCAGGGTGGTGGGTCCTTTGCTGCAGCTGTGGATGCAGGGTGACAGACACACCCTGTGAGGTCACAGACCATCCAGCAGAGCGGACTGGACTGTCCCCCTCCCCTCAAAGATGCAGAGGCAGCACAACAGAGCAGGAGCCGTTTCTGTTCAACCCCTGCCATTCCCCAGGGATGCCATCTTTAACTCGGTTTTCCAGTCACCAAGCACCATTCCTGGGAGGACCAGCCTCTCCAAAGAGCAAGGATTTCCAGGCTCCCAAAATGCTGCAGCACCTGCTTTGCCAAACCACTTCCCAGCAGCAAGGAATGGACCAGCTCTGCCCCAACACCACAAACTCACCCTACCACCACCTATGAGGCACCAGCACAGCTGGAGCAACGCCATGGGATGGGATGTGCCAAGCGGCATCAACCTCAGGGGGCTTTGCAGACCAGTGAATAATTGGATCAAGGAGCCGCATTGAGTCTTCTGCGCACGCATTCACAGCCCGTGAAACCCCCTGTTTCTGAGCCTCCCCACACCGGGAGTGGCACAGGGCCCCAGGTGCTCTGGCTCTCAACACACCCACACCAGTGAGGCTGGGACATCCCACCAGCAGTATCACATCTACTTCCCATCGCATCATCACATCCCCTAAGCCCTGCTCCACACTGGGGACAGAATCGCTACAGCCACCACCTGCCAATGCATTCCACCCCATTACCCAGGTCTACCTCGCAAGAATTGAAGTGCAGGGGACACGATGGCCCCAAGTCAGCTGGCGCATAGGGCCAGTCCGGCCCCAGTGGGTGGCAGAGTAAGCCAGGCGCCATGTTGCGGCGGCGCGAGCGCACGGAGGAGAGTGAGGGGAGGGGACTGAGCACCTCCCTGGTCCTGAGGGCCGGGCACAGAGGACTGCAGCAAAACACTACTGATGCCAGGCATTTTCCAGAGCCGTCTCCAAGATGGAGGGCAGCTGGTGACCCACTGCACCAACACCTGCTTAAGGGGTACAGTAATGACAGCAGCCAGTGGTCTGACAGCCAAAAGGCAAATGTGGAGGGCTGCAAGCTCAGCTCTGGCACGTGGCTACAGACAACTGACCCTTGTTAGCCTTCCCAGCCCCGAGTCCAGCAGCATCTAGGCTCTGGCTTGCAATGGCATCCAGGGAAAGGGGACCAGTGGCAGGGCAGCTAGCAGGCCTCCAGCCCTGGCCAGGCTGCCAGTATATGGGCAAGGACTCCACCAGTATCATCCAACTGTGTCCCTTGCAGCCCACGCGGGCAGAATGGTGCTAGATCTAGAAGTTGCAGGGACTTAGGGAGAGGGCACCATGCCCACAGGCATCGACTGCTCTCGAGGGACTGGGCACCTTCCAGCACCCTATCCCGCCGGGCTACAAGAACAGGGGCTGAGCAAAGAACTCGCCCCACCCGGCTCCGGTACACCCGGCTCCGGCACTTCCTCGGGACGGCCCGGGGGCTCCAGCGCCGGCTCCCCGACACCTCCGTACTCCAGCTCCCACAGCTCGGCCTCGGCTCCCCAGCCCGGAGCTGCCCCGGCGTCCAGGCTCCGGTCCTCCGACGGCCCGGGGGTCCAGCCCCGACGCCGCATCCTCTGTTCCGCAACCACGGCGCTGCGCTCCTTCTCGGCTTCCCCGACGCCCCGGTGCCGCTTCCCTGGTCCCCGACGCCGCTGCGCTACATCCCCGACACCCCACTTCCTATTACCCGATGCCGCCGCGCTCCATTCCCCGTCCCCCAACACCCCGGCGCTCTACCCACGCCGCCCCGTCCTGCTCCCGCCGGCGCTCCCTGTTTCCCGCCGCCGTCGCGCCCCAGCTCCGTTGACCCGCTCCGTTCCCGGTCCCCGGCCGCCCCAGTGCCGACGCCGCTCCCAGTTTCCCAGCGCTCCATCCCCGACCCACCGCCCCGTCCCCACCTCCTCCTCGACGTTGCCGCCGCCGTTGGTGTGCTCGGTGTCCTTGTTGAGGTTGCTCATGGTGGGGGGACGGGGCGCGGGATGGTGCCGGCTGCTCCGGAGCTCCGCAGGGCCGAGCCGGGGTGCCGGTGAGGTGTCGGTGCGCGGGGGCGGTGCGGGGCGGTGCGGGGCGGTGCTGCGCTGCCCTCCCGGTTCACATGCGGCGTCCCGGGACGGCGCCGCTGTTAACGGCCGGGCCGGGCGGAGCGGGGCGGGGCGGGGCCGAGCGGAGCGGGGCCGAGCGGAGGGCAATGAGCCGCAGCTGCGGGGCCGACGCGCCCCAGCCCCCGCCGCCGCTCCCGGTGCCGCCGCCGCCGCCGCGCACCGAGCAGCGGAGCCGGGACCCGCCCGCCCGCCCCGCCCGGGGCCGCCCCGCCCGGGGCCGCCCCCGGCCGCCGCCGCCGCCAATCCTGGCCCAGCCCGGCCCGGCCCGGCCCCCCCGGGGCCGCGGGGAGGTTTTTTTTTGTTGGGCTCGAGTTATTTTAATTATTTCCCCCCCTTCTCCTTTCCACGAAAAACTGTCTCAACTTTGATGAACTTTCTGGTTTCGACTTTCTTAAAGGGCCCGCCGGGCTCTGCGCCCGCGGCGGAGCAAGGCCGCTCCTCTCGGCTATCCGTGGGATGGGGGGATGTGGTTGAGCCCCGCGGGGGTCCGAGAGCCCCGAGACGGCATCTTTGTGACACCCCGATGAGAGCTCTGAGCCCCATGAACAGCAGCCCTGGGAGCTCAGGACGGGGGTCCTGTAACCCCAGGACTGCAGCCCTGAGCCCCCGGGTAGCAGCCACAAAGCCCCATGGGACACCAGCCTGCTTCCTTCTGCCAGGGCACCCCACATCCATCCCCACAGACATCGGTGGGTGCCCGGAGCCCGGCTTGGGAGGAGGAGCAGGATTCAGGCATAGAATCAGGGAATCCCAGAATGGTTTGGGTTGGAAGGGACCTTAAAGATCACTGCATTCCAATCCCCAGCCATGGGCAGGGACACCTTCCCCTAGGCCAGGTTGCTCCATTCAACTTGGCCTTGAACATTTCCAGGAATGGGACAGCCTCAGCTTCTCTGGGAAACCTATGCCAGGGCCTCACCATCCTCACTATCGATCTCTTTTCCATTCTCCCTGCCCACACTGGTGCCCAACCAGCCTTATCCTAAAGGACATCCCATGGTTGGGTAACATGAGCAGAAAATAGAATACATGGCCCATTCCTGCACTCTGTATCCCACACCTTGGTTCCTGTGTGTAAAAGGTGTAAAACTCCAAGAGCTTGGGGTCAACCCATGAAGTGGCAGATGTTCAGATATCTGAACCCTGTTATCTTAACCAGCATTGCTTATACTCAATCCTTGCTGCTTCCCCAGCACCGAGAACAGGTGAAAGTGAGGGGAAGCGTCAGCCCTGCCCCACCCTAGGGGTCCCACAGCTCCCTGGGCTGCAAAAGTGCTCCCTGTCCTCTGCTGGCCCTGGCTGGAGACACCTGTGCTTTCCCCCTTCCCGGCAGCGAATGTCACTTCAAAATCAAACTGAATGCACACCTGGCTCTGAGTGATCATCTCCTTCCAGGGGTATCATTTTGCTCACATGCATGTTGTGAAGAGGTGTGAGCCTGTCTGAGGGCAACCACAGCTGATTTCCCCACTGCACCTGGGTCCACTGCCTTGTTCAAGCCCCAGCCTCTGATTCCATTCACCACCTGCTTACAAAGAGGCTCCCTATGAAAAGGTAACCCTATAAACTCAGCTGTCCCTATGCACAAACATTTTCCAGCACAACCCATGGTGCTCTGGGGCCAGTGCCAGAGAAACAATGCAAGGAACACCATCAACCAAGGTGGTGCCCACAGTCAAGTGCTTGTTGGGGGCAAGTGGTTCCATTGCAGAAGGTGTGTTGGAGGAGAGGAAACATCCTTCTGGGGGCTTTATGTTTCCTTGCTTTCTAGGTTAAGGCTTTCAGCAGCAGCAGCTGTTTGTATGCGGTAGGGTGGGTTTGCGTATGGAGTCCTCACACAGACAGCGGCAAAGCTACAGCTTCTTTTTCCAAGGCTTTGTAACAAGCTGCTACGCCAGAGGTCCCTGCCAGGACCTGCACAAGGGGAGAAATCCCCCACTTTTTAACTAAAACAACTCCACTATATTTATTTAAAATGTTGTCCTACAGAGTGTTTTTTTGGAAGATTTCACACACCAGCCTTGTGCACAACAGTGAGAACCCCCCAGTCCATCCACGGAGCTCAGCATGAACAGATCTGCAGCAGAGCAAGGGCTTTCCCTGGTCTTCAGGGTTGCTGTGGTTCCCCACAACTTCATCCCCAGGGTAAGGCTGCACAGGAATAACTCCCAGGAAGAGCATTACCTGCCATGCCACAGAGACTCAAAGTGAACCCACCCTGATGAAGACCAGGAATATTTGCTTCCTGTGCTAATTAAGCAAAACCTAGTGTTAACCTTGCAGCTCTTTCTCTGTGTTTAGGTTTGGTGTTTTACTTTCTACAGACTTTGAGTCCAGAGCCTGATCCCAGAGGAGGAAGGCACAAACGGGTGGACTTCAGAAGCAGCAGCGGGTTTTCATCAGACCCCCAAGGAAGCCACGCTGTACACGTGTAGGGGAGACGTGCCGCCTCTTCCACAGCAGGAAAACCCCAGCCACAAGCGGAAGAGCTGCTGAATCCATCACACTGGAGTGATAATGGTGGGTCCACCACATCACTGTTGCAGTGATGGCCACAAGCTGTGGTTTATTCTATAGGCAAGTTCATCACACTGGGCTGGAGAGCAGCATCCTCCTTGCACACCCACCTCTCAGAGCTGTGTGTGGTGTCAGCATCCCTACATCCCAGCATCTTGGGGCTCATAGTCCCTTTGATGTCCCAATAAACATCACACCCAGGCAGACTCTCCCCTCCCAAAGCGCTGAGGCACAGCAACATGTGCTTCAGCACATGGAGCCCTTGATGGTCCAACCAGCTTCGTGGGGAGATGTTCCTGCCTCTGGGAACCCAAAGAGGTAGATATGTGAAGCAGTTATTGCTACCAGCTTGTACAGGTGAGTCAGTCCATCAGAAAATGGTGATGTCTCTGCAGAGGTTTTGGGTGAGGATTCTCTCCACTTCCACATGGAAATGCTCAGTTTAAGTGTGCAATCAGAGGCCACACGAGATGAACCAGTGCAGAACCAAGCGACACTCTGGTTTGACCTTGCTTACCCATATCTTACAGTGATGTATTTTTACACTAACACTTTTTCCCCTGAGGCCTCTTCCACCCAACAGCATCTGGCTCTGCAATCTTGCCAAGATCTGCACCACAGCCTTGTCCTTGCCGTACCACACCCATGGAGATGTGCTGGTTAGAAGAGCATAGGTAATGTGATCCATCAAGCATCCAGCCACCTCTCCCACATCAATTCCACAAGAGGGTGGACAAGCTGGCAATGAATCCTGTGACAATGTCCCACACAAGCAGCTCCAACTGTGCAGTCCTGCCTGCAAACAATGGGAGCTACAGTGCCTCACCAAGGAAAAGGAGTGAGGTGCTCACAACCAGCAAGCAGGTGTTAGAAAGGGGGCTAACAAAGTACTTGGGATGGAAACAGATAGGAATCAGCTGAGAAATTGAGGTAGGACTTCAAAAGACAACCAGATGTGGACAATCTTGTGTTTTCAGAGTTTCTCAGCTTTACATTTTCTCATTCTTGAATAAGCAGGTGGCCAGCTTACCAGTTAACCAGTTGAGGTGATAACGTAGGGTCGTTTCTCCAGCTGAGCTCCTGCATCTGCTGCCCACTCTGCTGCCCACTCTGCTGCCCACTCTGCTGCCCTGTGCTCCCAGGCCTTATTCATCCACCCATAAAGAGGCCATAAATTTTATTTTAGAGATCATGGTGGTTGTCATAGGGGGTACCTTGGGCCCCTGTTTCCCCTGAGCCCACTGCAGGTGCTGCCACGCACTTCGGATGAGGTGCTGGATAGTTTTTACTGTTTCTCACTACTTATCTGGGACAACAACTGAGAATTGGCACTAGGGCAGAGAGTCCTAGGGCAGAGTGGACACTCCCATGCCACTTTCAGAATTTCTGAGGTATGGCAAAGGGAGAATTTCCTCTGCTCGCCACTGGTGCCAACTTTTCCTCCTCCTATCCTTGCCCAGGAGGCCTCACATCTCCATGGCGTGTGCCAGCCAGCACTGCTCTGCTGCTCTCCACTATCCTCCATCCATTCCAGCTGCTCGTGCCTCATGCCCTTAGTCTTTCTAGTTAATTATTCTGGACTGGGATTTGCAACGCTGGCTGGGAAGAGACCACCAACCATGGGACATGGAGGAACCTTGATTTCCAAGCGAGCAGTGAGACTAGCTGACCCCACTGCCATTGCTGAGACCAGTGATGGGCACATGCAAGCTGGGTGCTAGTGTCACCAAAGACTCTTCATAGGACCTCAGGTAAGTTTTCAGAGACAGACAGGTGAAGGCTTTAGGGCTGAGGTGCTGGTTTTGGTATGAATGGTCATCCAAACATCTGGAGACTTGTTATAGTGATGGTGGGAAGGGACCTTGGGAGTCTCCCATCCAACATCCTGCAGGACTGTCACCAGCACCAGGTCATGTTGGTCCTTCCTTGAAAAACCCTAAGGATGGAGCAACCCCACCTCTCCAGGTGTCCATCCCAAGGCTGCACCATCCAGCAGGGAAGAAGTCTTCCCTAACACCCAACCTTGCCTTCCCAAGCCACCATGTGCAGTGTTGCCTCACGTAACATCATCTGCCGCTATGAAGGGAAGTGTGGCATCTTTATAACTACCCCCCTGGAGACGCAAATCTGTCAGAAGACCCCCTTTCAACCTCTTTTTGGCCAGAATAACCCAGCCCAGCTCCTTGCTGACCTCTCACCAGCCACTTCAGTGCTTACCCACCTCCCAGTCCACATCTCTGCCCAGTGCAGAACCTGTCCAGCCACTCCTCCTGGTCCCACAGCCTCCTTTGGTGCATTGGTCCCCAAACAGCAGGGGTAGCACTTGGCCAAGGCCAGGCTGAAGAGCAGCTCCCAACCCCTTCCATGGATCTGGTCCTTCTGTTGGTCAAAAGGCACATGGCTATACCAGCAAAGGACAGAGGCTGAAAGTCGTGGCAGCCAAATTAGTAC